AAAACAGGAAGGGAGGTTGATTATTTCAATTGCAGATACTAGTGGTTCCTTGAAATCTGGAAACAAATCAGTTATACAGAATGAAATTATGAAGGATGTCGAAGTTGGGGCGCGAGTTCAACATGAAAGTGATTCATCAGCTCTAATTATAAATGGGCAAGCATTGGTTCAGAGCCTTAGAAGTTAGAACACATGGAATGAAAACATTTGGAGACTTTGCTGACGAGTTTGTTTCAACTGTTTTTAGAAAAGAAAACTAGGATCGATGTCCTGTTTGATCGCTACAGGGGCCGATCAATAAAATCCGTAACTCGTTATCGCAGAGCAAAACGGCACCAACCAGTCAACCAGTCAGAAGGATTGTTGAAAATCGAGACGTTCCTCTTCAAACTAACTTCGATACATTCTTGTCTTTGAACGAAAACAAGAAAGATCTTGCTGCCATGCTGTCTGAAGAATTAATTCTCCAAGCGCCTATTGGGAAAATCGTTGTCACTGCCGGGGGGTTTGTAGATGAAACTGGCGTGAAATGCAATGATGATATGTTAGAATTGTCTACGCTAGAGGCCACGCATGAAGAAGCAGACACTAGAATAGTGCTGCATGCCATACACTGTTCTAAAGTATCCGCCTGACCTCTATTGTCATTTTAGCATCCGATACTGATGTCTTATTGCTACTAATATCATTCTTTTCAGAAATAGATAGACATTTGTGGATGATTGCAGGAACCTTTTTAAAGCCAAAAAACATTCCTGTTCATGTTGTTGAGAAAAACTTCTCTTCTCCAGAGTTACGCAAACATTTGGTAGCATCTCATGCACTGACAGGGTGTGACACAACATCTTATTTCTATGCTATCAAAAAATCTTCCCTGCGGGTATTCAGAGATAATTATAAGCTTCTCGAGGGCTTAGGTGAGGGAGAATTAACTGATCAGAAAATCAAAGAGTGTGTAAAGTTTGTAAGTTGTATAACCAAGAAGCGGAGAGTACTGATACGGTAAGGAATGTATTACATGTACATGTATTTGGGAAATCAAAAAGCCCTGAGAATATACCTCCAACTAGTGATGCCTTATGCATGCATGTAAAGCGAGAACACTACCAAGCCTTGATATGGAGACAGGCAAACATGTGTAAGCCCTTATTACCATGCCCAACTGAAATGGGATGGAAGTTGGAAGGTGGTTGTTTGGTACCGATACTTATGAATTTAGATCCAATTTCAGAGGCTTGCCTAGATTTGGTAGCTTGCAACTGCACAAAAGGTTGTAAAACAGAGAGATGTGGATGCAAATGAGCCAGTCTGCGATGTATGGACCTCTGCAAATGCAAAATCTTAAACAAAGATGAATGTAGAAATGATAGCTTAAAACAGAGGAAATTCGAATTTTGGGAGAAAACGGCGTAAATTATTTCAATCAAAGTGGTTTATTATTAGTTGCTACTATATTAAATATTTCAGATTATGTATATTTGGTTATTTAAGCACACTTTCCCCGCTTGAACAGTGATAACAAAAATTTTGGAAAAATTTGGTGTCCGCCATTTTGAATCGCCATTTTGACCTATCTAACGCCATTTTCATGAAGGCCAGCATATTTTTTCGGATTCAGCATACTCGAAATAGGATAAAAACTATGCTGGACCAAATAATAATTAAATGCCGTTAGAAGTTTTTTTTATTGTAAATCGGACCAAACTATCATGCATTTGCTAAAATTTTATTATGTTTCAATCGTTAGCAATATAAATAGTCAAAGTTTAAGTGAAATAAAAAAGCATACAGGTACAAACAGTATGGTAAGTATTGATATTTATTTCTTTGTAAAAATTAATCTCCTTTACTTAATCATTGTCTTATTATGTTCCCCAAACGAAGTTGGGGAACATATTGTTTTTACTCTGTTTCTTATTAAGGTCTTCCGTTTCCAACGGAAGACCTTTCTGTTATTCTTAGGTTTCTTTTCCACAGTTTTTTTCTTTTTTTTCTTACCAATTTTGTGCACGCGAGTTCTCGGAAACGGTTTGCTCGATTTTCATGAAACTTTCAGGGCTGATGGAACATGAAAAAATCTAGACATATATTTTTTTATTTTGATGACGTCACTTCCGGTTCCGAGATTTTCGCATTTTAGTGAATTTTAGAGGGTCAGTTTGTCCGCGAGTTTTATCGAAAACGGCTTAAGATAGAAACTTGAGATTTTCAGTGATAATAGAGCAATAAATGTAGTTGTGCGGAACGTATTTCATATTCACCGAAATTGCTGTGTACGGAAGCTCGTTATGGCCCGAAAATAGTCCTTTCGCGAATTTCAAAAATTTTGACACCTTTTCAACGATAACTTTTTACCTAAAAATATTTTGTTAAAACATGTATAACAAAAGAAGTGTAGAATTATCAGATCTTTCAAATGACATCTCGAAAAAAGGGCTGGCCCCTAAAATTTAAGGCCTAGCGGGATGGAAAGTTTTTCTTTTATATCTCGAAAAGTATGGAGAATTTGTAATACGTCAAAGAAGCAAAGTTGTTCAAAATTTCAAGCTTCATCTATCGGAGTCGTCAAAATACGTCCGACAACGTCACTTCCGGCTAAACCGGAAGTAGTCGGAAAACGCGTATTTTTGCCTTTCTTGACAAGTTTTTGGGTAACATATGTCTCTGGGATCAAAAAATAAATTTTCAGTCCGTCGTCGTCACTTCCGGTCAAACCGGAAGTAGCAAGAAATTGTTTATTTTTGCATTAATTAACATAGCTTTAGAAGATTCAAACCATTTTTGGGCATTATTTCTCATTTTTGTTGAAAATGAAAGCTACTTCCGGTCAAACAGGACGGAAGACCTACTCGTTGCTTTGCAACGAGCTTTGCTCTAGTTATTATTATTTTTCTTCTTGGGAAAATTTTGTCCGCGAATGATCTTGTAAAGTACACATCCGATTAAGGGGAAACCTTTTTAGGATAAGTAGGCATGTTATGTAGATTTGCGGAACGAAGGTCATTTTCCGCGCACGTGCTTGCAAGAGCGCGCACGTGCAACACGTGAAATGACCAATATACTTGAAATTGCCGTAACTTTTACATTTTTTGATGTAATGCTTTGATATTTAGAATATATAGACATATTATAAATGTAGATAAGATGACATTGTCAACATGCCATTTTGCGCGCACGTGCTTGCAAGAGCGCACACGTGCAACACGTGAAATGACCAATATAATGGATATAGCCGTAACTTTTCTATTTTTTGATGAAATCTTTTGAAATTTATCATGTAAGGATATATTAGTAGCGTAGACAAGATGACATGATAAAAAAAAACAAGATCTCACGCGCATGCACGTGCGCTTCGCTCTGATTGGCTGAAACTAAAGTATGTATATCTTTCTTGTTTTTCGACGAAATCCTATGAAAATTTGAACATAGCCATGCATTAAGATATCCTACAATATGATATATAGCAATTATCATGAAAACACGTGCATGCACGTGTGCGGCAATCTGATTGGCTTAAACTTTAAATAGCTATAACTACTTTGGTTTTCAACCAAACAGGATGGAATTTGGAACATAGATAGATATAATGAACTTCTACAAGACGGTATGGTCACAATGCACATGCATACACGTGCGTGTACGTGCGCTGTAATCTGATTGGCTGAAACTATAAACAGCTATATTTCCCTTGGTTTTCAACCAAACGGGGTGGGATTTAGAACATAGATAGATGTAAAGGACTTCTATATGAAGATATGGTCACCATGCTCATGTATGCACGTGAGTGCACATGAAATGAGATAAATCAAAAATACACTTGAATGAGCGTATTTTTTAATACTTTTGGATTAAATACTTTAATATTTTGTATATAAAAAATATATAGATTGTGTAGACAAGATGATATGGTCATTACGCACATGCATTCACATGCGCACCCTTGCAATGCTAATTTGAATGAACTTGGCGTTGTTAAAGTCTCAAATGCATAGATTTTGTCCTATTTAATGAAGCTGTTACAGGGAATATGGCACCAAAAGGGAGTTGGGGAGCGTTTGGGGAACATCTGTAACGGTCCCCGTTACAATTAGCACTAGTTGTTTATAATTTTTGATAAAAAAAAATATGGAGTACTCTATAGATAATCAATGTTCATCAACATGGGAAAGGGTATAATACGATGTGCAATATATCGACAACTTGTGTATCTTGTGTATCTTGTGAGATAACAGTTTACCGTAAAATCATTTGATAAAAGTATACAAAGATAAATCCTTCAGTTCATACTATATGTATTTATACATTTATATATTTGCCTATATTTTTTATTTATATGATTTGGGTTATGCCCTTTCTTAGAAAGTTTAATTTTGAACTTATTTGAGACATACCCGAACGTTCGATGTCAAAATACATTTGGAAGGCAATTTCCGTTGGAACGGTATTCCTATGGGGTAAGCAGCTTATAAAAATAAATATAAAAGATTAAAATATTGAACGTAAAAATTTATTCTGTTATCTTTATAATAATAACATTTTAATAAATAACACTTTGTTACATTATTAATTTGCCACTCATTCACTAGTAATACAGCTAGGTTAATCAGAAACTTGTAAATTGATAGAACCAGAGGCTCTAGGTAGCCAATGTAGCCATTGTAGCCATTTTCTTAAGAATTCGGAATATATAGAAAATTCCAGGAATTTTTTTCTGATAGATCTTTCTACTTTTGAAAAAAACAGAATGAAGGTTAGGCATAATTTTATTTTACCCTTTTACAACAAGAGAAGTCCATATGTTTAAGTTGGTACTTGCACATTTTTGAGATGATAATATGACACATATTTATAGACATCATCTATTTTTCTGTATTTCCATCGTTGGTATTCTTTTACAATATGTTTTGAATATACATGAAGTTATTCAAACTTTGCATAAATATTACCGATTTGGCTTTGATATTAACTTATATTCATTTACTTCGACAAATTAAGCATTATCACTGACACAAGGATCAGAATATAAGTACATGTACGGCAATAATGAAACCTGTATTGATGTTAAGATGGACGTTCTGTTTACCCTGAGTGATGGAAATGAAACAATAAAGTTTGATGGAAATAATTTCACTGTTAAGAGCGGGGATTGTGCAACTATAGGAGAATATCAGTCCATATTGACATTGACAAATTCAAACTCAGACCTTCTGTCCTTGACTTTCAACGCTCTCCCTGATTTATCAGTGAACATGAGCTTGATGTTTACATTTGCTCCGTTCGAATTCTTTCCAGGATCTCCAATAGCAAGTAAGTTGTAATATTGACACCACTCAACCTCATACCAACTTTTATTCACGTGCGAGAAATACTAGTACCTATTTTAACTCACCAATATTAATCGCAGCTAACAATTTATTTTGCTGTCCATTCGTAAAGAAAGTTTCCCCAGTCGCGAAAATTCATCGTCGCGTATTAATTTCAAACTGACAAATAAAGGCTGACGCGTATAATACTTTGTTTACAGTAATCAATTAATATACAGATGGAAAAAGATGTGGAAACTTTTCACCTTTTTTATCCATTTTTATTACAAAAATATTACTTGATAAAATTACAGCTACAATAAATTTGTTGGATACTGGAGACTTGACACTTGGATCAATCGCCCAGCTTTATCAGTGTGAATCCTCCCAGAGAATAGCATTAATTGGAGTGCTGGAAGGCACCATTTATACTTTGTACATGGATATGTCTAACGTACAGATTCAGGCTTTAAATATAACAAATGGAAAACTCAGCACTGACGGTAAGATGTTAAAATACACATTCCAGAATTTTACGTATGGAGATCTTTGGTATTCTTTTTATCCGTAACATCTTCTAAAATACGTTATCGAATAGTCACAATGAATAAGGCCACACATTATTTTATTAGTAATTTTTTTTCAATTACCGCAAACTAAAATATATCTTTCTTTTGTTTATTACAAATAAATACCAGTAGAGCTAAAGTCGTTTTAGTTATTTGTTGAATCTTGTTCAAACAACAATACTTAGTATTTCATTTATTATTAGGAAGAACGACCTGTTTAATACGTATGTACACGGCGGGCCTTTTGCCAGGGGATACTCACTCTTCCATGGCATCTCATTCCACCTCTGATGTTTTGGATGCCCGTGTTTGTTCTGCTCATATTTTGTATTGTTTCATGGACTTTTGATCTTTAAGGTAATTCCACCCTCTATGGTGTCAAAGGCTTTTGCAAAAACTGGTTTTACTTTAAATTAAAACCTGATAGAACACTTTCTCTTTTAGGAATGCTTTTCAATAGGTGTTCTGATGAATATTGTAAAGTAAAAGAATTTAAAAAGATGTATATTTTCTTTATTTAATCAATTATTCAATCTTTAAAATATTGAAAAGGGCAATAACTCCTTCACAGGTCTCTTCATTCAGGCGTTTGCTTTTATGTAAAATAGTTTCCCTGATACTCACAATTCAAAAGTATTTTGTAAGTAGGAAGTATTAAGGAACATTTAGCATCACAATTATGCATTTTAACCAGTTTTTGAATATTTTTCATAATACTGTTTACAAAAAATGTGCGATTTTTTTGTTAACAAATACTTTCATTTATTTCTGTCTCCAATCTTAAATACTAATATGGCGACCTATACTTTTTTTGCAATTATTGAAAATTTTAAAGTATACTAAATATAGTATTAAATGAAAAAATGCAGTTTTTGTTCTTTGAACCATTAGAATTGTGAGGGTGGAAAGACCTAAGTTAATACTGTTCGTTATCTCCAAATCTTTCACTAACAGCCTATACATCAACAAAAATGAGTTTTCGGTGCATTTATAATTATGGTGCATTTTTTTGTTGCTGGGAGCGAAGACAGAAAATGACCCCAGCCCTGAAAGCAAAAAAATTGCCTCATTACAAAGGGTGCATTTCCCAGTCAAATCAGCATAAATACCTTCTAATCATTATTATACATAAAATTAAGATTTTCCTTTCCCGGCTGACCAGTTACAATCATAAAAAATTACTTAATTTATATGTGTTATTGCAAATGATATTTTATTAATTTTATTAATTTATGCCTAAAAAGATATTTTAATATAGCTGGATGCAATACGTTCTAATCCAGGTTTTTGCTCTGAGGTATTTTCAATCTTGTTAACAGTCACCTATTTCACGCTGTATTACAGTGTTTGTGTGTAGTGCTGATCAGATGACATCTGTAGCACAAGATACAACAGTGACATCTGAACCCACTACAGCCACAACAGAACCACCAGCAATTACTGAAACAACAGTGGGTCCATCTAATGGAACAACAGAGAAAACAACAGTTCCATCGGGGAGCTCAACCACTGCACCTCCAAATCCTTCATTTCCCCCAAAGTCCAGATATGAAGTCATTGAGAACTCCCAAATTTGTCTCATCTTGGAGGGACGCTTCCAGCTAAAAGTGACGTATATGACAAAGGATAATAAAACTGTAAGATTTGTATAAATTTTTTGAACAAATTTTTAAGTAAAATTAATTTTTGATTGACAATCATGTTTATAGAGAATGTTTAAAGGAACGTCCCAACATTGGCTCCTATAATTTTTTCACAATAGTAAAATACATGTATCAATAAAACAAACATAAAATATAAATAACTGTATGCGTGTTATGTTCTATGGTGGCATATTTCTGCCCCTTGTGTGCAAGTTATTTTTCTATCAAATACGTCGACATGCAAGATAAATATGTTGACATGCAAGATAGTGATGTCAACATGCAACATAAATATGTTGACATGCAAAAAAATTGCAATCAAATAAATATTATAAAAAATTTTAAATATCGCCCACATGTGACATCCAACATGCTAGATGCTTCTTATTTATGTCGACATGCAACTTATTTATGTTGACATGCAACTTATTTATGTTGACATGCAACTTATTTATGTCGACATGCAACTTATTTATGTTGACATGCAACTAATTTATGTTGACATGCAACTTATTTATGTTAACATGCAACTTATTTATGTTGACATGCAGCTTAGTTATGTTAACATGCAACTTAGTTATGCTGACATGCAACTTGGTTATGTCGACATGCAACTTGGTTATGTCAACATGCAACTTGGTTATGTCGACATGCAACTTGGTTATGTCAACATGCGACATATTTATGTCAACATGCAACTTATAAGTTGCATGTCAACATATTTATCTCGCATGTCAATATAACCAAGTTGCATGTCGACATAACCAAGTTGCATGTCGACATAAATAAGTTGCATGTTAACATATCTAAGTTACATGTCAACATATTTATCTTGCATGTTAACATAAATAAGTAGCATTTAGTATGTTGGATGTCACATGTAGGCAATATTTGAGATTTTGAAGATTGTTTTATAATTTTTTTTCATTGCAATTTTCTTGCATGTCAACATATTTATGTTGCATGTTGACGTAGCTATGTTGCATGTCAACATATCTATCTTGCATGTCGACATATTTGATAGAAAAATAACTTGCACACAAGGGGCAGAAATATGCTACCATAATGTTCTGTAGGTTTTACAAATAATTTCTTTTCACGAACTTTTATTCTAAAAAACTTTTTCGGAGACTGCAAAGTTGGAACATGTAACTTGCTAGAGCACCCTGTACATATTAAACATGGTTTACCGGATAAACAATTTCAGCTTTGATATGTAGGATTGCTCCACATTTTTACAAACCGTGCGAGCTCTCCTTTTAAAAGGTAAAGAGGTTTTGATCACATTTTTGTCAGCTAAAAAACCTTGGTATAACAACGTGAAATGAAAATGAACAACTTATGCTTTACAGGAACAGATCTCTATGAATTATGCAGAAATCTTTTATTAGACTATTCAAGAAACGTATCAAACAAATCTCCTTAAATCAAAAATGGATTGTTGGAAACCAGTAATATGTCCCTTATGTTCACTGAACAAAACTTTATTTACATGTACGTAGTAATAAGTTCTCATTCATTATACAGGCTACTACAACAATGGATGTTCCAGTGAGCAGTGATGTCACCGTCACAGGAACATGTGCCAGTGTAAATGAAAACTTTTCTGGTCTCACTATCACACCAAAAGATGCAGGAATTCAATCCTTGATTTTTAATTTTGAAATAATGAACGGAAAATCTAGCCTTATATCTTGGTTTGCTAATGTAAATATCTCGGATGCCATGGAACGTAGGTATCAACAGTGTATAGTCAATGATTTAACAGTAGATCCATATTTAATTTTTCCCAACTTTGTCTTTCTATATATATATATATATATATATATATATATATATATATATATATATATATATATATATATATATATATATATATATATATATAAATAATGATTTTTATCAATGTCAAATCTACATCGATTTATTTGATGTACCTCAACCTTCCCTAACAAAAAATACTACAGTAATGTTTTGTTTAACTAAGTTAACTTTAGTGCTAACTTTGACACAATAAAGAATTTGATTTTCTACAGTGCTAACTTTGCTAGCATTTACTATAGTGATATTGACACAATGGTTTACGTAAGTAATTACTATGAAAACTTTGATTTACTTTAGTGATCACCATGAAACTTTGATTTACTATATTTGTAACTTAGATTCACTAACGTGATAATTATCACACTATATTGATTTACTATAATGATAACTTTGACACTTTATGCTTAACAATAGTGTATTAATTTTGTTAGGGATCTGACATTATCTTAAAATAATGATATTGACAAGTGACTTTTGATTAAATATATACCTTATATGCATAAAGCAATTTGGTTAAATTGTGATAGTTAGTTTGACCTCCTGAAAAGGTGAAATTATCAGTAGTTACTTTATCATCCACCCTATCCACAATTACTGTGAATAATCGAAAAACTTTATTATGGGGGCATTCAGTTAATAAAATATCACATTGAAGCTTTTTATAAATTCAAATGAATTCAAATGAATATATGTTTGTCACATGAAAACTAAACCAAATAAATTATATCACTGGCTCTATACGTTTTAAAGTGTAACTCTGCCATTAAAATAGCTCGTTGAAAAAGAAATTTGATTTTTTCAAAAATAGTAGTCAAAGGTCTTGAACTGTAAACATATTATTGATAGAACATTGAAATGTTTTATAGAGTTACTATCTAAATACAAGGGGTTATCAAAAAGTTCGTGGACTAGGGCCATAAAATTAAAACTGCTTAAGGTAAATTTATGAATTTTGAAATATTCAGTTAGCATCATCTTTTCTATCCAAAGAATAAAACCACAAATCATGAATTTTATTTTTTAATAAATTAGTAATGTTTTTGTAAGCAATGGTATGTCCATGCGGTGCAACCTCGAAAACGCCGTTTTTTCCGACCTATGTGTAACTGAGAAAAACTCCTTTGATATGATTATTTGATATCCAACAATCCCGTTAATTCAGATATGTGTCGGGATACAATTGTTCTATAAAATATGAAATGTTCACTTCATTCTGGAAGTGTTATGAAATTTTATCGTAAATTTTACACGAAATGCCCAAATAAATGAGGCCTTAAAAATGACGTCAAAAGGGGGAGGGGTTTCCGTTTCCAATATTCTATAAAGTTTTGCCCCAGAAAAAACTTGTTTAGACCTAAAATATGTTAAAACTGGCTACAAAAAATATTATGCATCCAGAGTACTTGTCTTTAAATGTCAAAATAGATTCAGAGAGTAAAGGGATACACATTTAATGTCGATTTGTAGTCAAGGTGTGAAAAATCAATCCCATCAAAAATGACGTTAATCATGTGTTGTAGATCTATATTGAACTCTCAAAAGCAAAATATGCCAGCACAATCAAGCGCAGATCTCCCCCAATGTATTAATCAATCTGTAATATTGTATTCATTGAAGGTCACTGTTCATGACATTGTAAAGTCATATAAAAAAGGCGGGTATAAGTCCTTACTCAGCTCCAGGGAATTTCATCAAAAAAGTGTATGAGTTAGAAGAGGAGGGCATTGAAAAATCAATGACGCTATGGGACGTCATGAAAATAAACGACGACAGCGCTGGGTGATCATATAATGTCGTTTTCATTTTATAATAATTTAGAAAATAATGATCGTATCAGGCTAAAATTTTCAACATTTCTTTATTTTGTGTTGTTTTATGTTCCATACAAATTTTGAAAGCACGAACTACACAGTACTAATTTTATAGCCTCATTCCACGAACTTTTTGATAACCCCTCGTATACATGATTGCAAGACCCTACGGTCATTTTATGTTTAATTGTATTAATCAGGAGTTTGCTGTTGATGTATTGTTGTTATTTGATAATGTATATAATTATTGTCAGCTGATTTCAACCACTCAGTGACTGATAAAGTGAATTTGTCAAGTCCTAAGTTATATTACAAGTGTGAAAATGAGGGAAACTTTTCGGACAGTACCCTGGCCTTCATGTACATGGAGTTAAAAGTGCAAGCTTTTAATGTTGAGGACGGAAAATTTTCGGAAAATGGTAAATATTTTACAAACATAAATGTATAAGTATTAAGTTACAAAAAGATGAAGGTCCATTTCATAGTGACATGTATGTGTGTTAAATGCACTGTAGAGAAGTTACCTAATCTCTGCTTGATTCTTTGTACCCGTTTTCGAAAATACATGTAAGTTGAGCATTTACTGGATCTTGCAAATATCTTCCTTTGTGATATATTTTTTAGATATAAATTCTTCTATTTCAGGAGTGTATTGTGAGGCAGATTTTGGACCCATTCCAGCTCCAGGTTACTCTCCTGTTAATATATATTCTGTATTGAATGGAAATAATATCTGTGTTGTATTCAAAGGAAGCATCCAGCTCTATATTCCGTATATTTCAAAAAATGGCGTAAGTCTGAGATCACTATTATAACATGTAGTTCACTTAGAAATTTGAATTTTAAAAGATAATAGACATATACCTTATGTGCAGATTTTTTGTTCTACTAGTATTTCATCATTTAATTCTCAATCATTTTATTCCGCGATGAGTATCTAGAATTTCTTAAAGGTTCTTTATAAGAAAAATTGAATTTGCAAATACAATAAATTTCTTATTAATTTTTGGGTTTCTTTCCCCTTCTTTTTTTCTGTTTCCTTGACTGTGTTTCTTGCTTTGTATGGTTTTCTTTCTATTACTGCAATAATAACTTAATACAACATGTTCATAATTGTTCAAAATATTGTATAGATAAAATTAATTACTGCAGTTTCAAGCAAATTCTGGAGGCATTTGGGTTATGGTTCCAATTCTTTGATGTTTTTTGCCTCCCTTGAATTTGCTTTTAACAATAATTAATATGTAGTTGATCTAAACAAAACTTTTGTTGTTTTTAGTATCAAAGCTCTATCTTCCTAATATATTGAAAACTTACTGAAATCAGAGAAAAGTATGTGATTTTTTTTCTAAGAATTTGTCATTGCAATATTTTTACTTTATCAAATATTCATATCACAGGACGATGTTTCTTTAATAAACATTTTGAAAATCTTTTGCATTGTTATTCTACAACATTTTTAGTGCATCATTTACTTTTACATGTCAAAAATAATGATGAGATGATAATTAGAAATATTTTTATAATAGATTTTAGTCCTTAAGCTATTAAATTATATTTATCATATATTGAAATATTGAAAGTTGAAGTTATATGTATTTTATTTTGCTCACGTAAGTAAAGATTCGGGGTACATGTATTTATGTGATGGATGTTATTAATTTAATATCAGATAACCACAGAAATGGTTTCCCTGCCAGCAGTGTACAATGTGTCCGGTGAATGCAACACAACTCTGAATGGACTCTTCTCTCAGCAAATGGTCATTCGCTTTTACGACGCCTGGATCTTGACTATTTACTTCTCAACTTACAAGAATCAAAAGACGGATGTATTGTCAGCTGGGACTCCTGTTGATAACTACTATATCTCACAAATAGAACTGAAGTATGACTACAACAACATCATCTTTAAGGATGCAGTCGATAGCAGTGAGTTTCGAACAGATTTGTTAAGAATTTATATTGGCACTCTTAAAAAACTTTGAAATCTGGCAACTACGAAAGATAAAAGGCAGAAAAATGAAAAATAAGTAATATAGTCAAGTTATGTAGAATTGATAATTGTGAGATCAGGTATAAAAAAATATACAATTTATAATCATTTGCAGTTCTTAGTAAAGAAATGTCAGTTGTTGCTGCCGATCTCAGAAAACTCACAACGAATAATAACAAGAGCTACAAGTGTCAGAAAGAAACTACCTTTCATCTGCAAAATGGATTATCTATGGTTACCAAAGACCTTCAGTACCAAGCTTTCAAAACTGGGGACACGGCAGACTTCAGTGGTAAGCTGTATGAATTAGAATTAAAAGAAATACTCAAAAGGATAAAAAAAAAGAATATTCATGAATTTAGAAGTTCCTACTTATGCATCATATAGAGTATCTAATAATGAGAAAAATGAATTTCGAGAAGTCAATGCTGTGACACGATTGATGCATTTTTTTTACACTGTAAATTTGTTACTTTTGAATTAACGCTTCCTTCTTGACGATGTGTTAGTTACAAAGAGACTCCTTTTGAGATATATTAACTCATTATCAAATTACGTGAGGGACACGATATAAGGCATATCTCCTAGTTTTGAAAAGATAATGATAATTCTAAATTTAATTTAATTTAAAAATTTTCATTTTGGTTTTTCCTTAAACAAAAGTCTTGTGAAAAATACAGAGAAGTAGACTTTTATCTTTCTTGCCAACAATAACACTGATAAAGTGAACAAGGGTACGTTTTGAGTAATTGTATCAACTTCAAAAATGTTAATTCATTTACATTGAATAAACTTTTTTGCCTATAATTATGATTTTTTGGAATAAAAATTGCGGACTGCAACATACAAAAGTAAAATAGGAGGTGCACAATGGCAATATGTAATAAAGATTCTGTAAAAGTTTCATTAAATTCACTTACTGGTATAAGAGGAGTTGCGGATAAGAGATGGGTACCCTAAAGTGAAATAGACAGACGGACGGACGGACATACCGATTACTATTTACCCAACCACTTTTCAAGAGGGGGAATAAAAAAATAATTATAATACACTAACTAAGTCTCTGACTTTTTATGGCTTGACAGGTCGTAAAAAGGAGACCCATTCGCTCACATGTTCGAATTTGTTTATTGCCAGTATTTCAAACATATTTTCCAAAGTCAATAAAAGCACCAAATAAAAGAAAATTACTCATAAAATTATTTATTATATAGCTAATAAATAGTCTCTAATAAAATACTACCAAATATCTAGAGAATTTTAACGTTCAATATCTGGACGTTTTATTGAACGCTAACTTTGTATTTCGAATATGAGTATGCCCGAAACATTCCGAATACGAGCGTTCAATATCGAACGCCCCGTTGTAAACAAAAAAAAGTTCGTCAGGTTAAATTCTCAGAGCCAAATTAAAGAAAGGAAGTGGCATCTAGATAAGATGTGTTTATTTTTCACATAAAATGAAACTATTTCGTATTAGACCCATTAAAGCCTAAATAAGCAAATCATATCGCTCGGTAGGGTCATCGGAATTCTGCGATGTTGAACGCTAACAGGACAGACGTTAATTTGAATACCGATACTAAAAAATCATTAATTTGAGGGGTTTGTTTTTACTTGGAATAATTATTATAAATTATGTGGAAATGTTTTAGCTATATAATAAAGGAGTTATTGAACTTATATTGGCGAATATTGGCACTCGTTGGCTGTTTAATTGCACTCGCAAGCTCGTGCATTTGAACAGCCAACTCGTGCCAATATTCACCAATATAAGTTCAATAACCTTATTTATTATATAGTTAATAAATAGTCTCTAATAAAATACTACCAAAAATCAAGAGAATTTTAGCGTTCAATATCTTGACGTTTTATTGAACGCTAACTTTGTATTACGTATATGAGTATGCCCGAAACATTCCGAATACGAGCGTTCAATATCGAACGCCCCGTTGTAAACAAAAAAAGTCGTCTGGTCAAATTCTCAGAGCTAAATTAAAGATAGAAAGTGATATCTAGATAAGATTTGTTTATTTTTCACACAAAAATGAAATAATTTATTAAAATACAGTACGTATAAGACCCATTAAAACCTAAATAAGCAAATCATATCGCTCGGTAGGGTCATCGGAATGACGCGATATTGAATGCTAACAGAACAGACGTTAATTTGAATACTGATACTAAAAAATCATTAATTTTGGGTTTCTTTTTAGTTGGAATAGTTATTATAAAGTATATGGAAATGTTTAGCTATATAATAAAGGAGTTATTAAACTTATATCGATGAATATTGGCACTCGTTGGCTGTTCAAATGCACTCGCAAGCTCGTGCATTTGAACAGCCAACTCGTGCCAATATTCACCGATATAAGTTCAATAACCCTATAATATTGTGTTCCAGAATATCGCAGATGTTGCTGAAATATACATGTGCCAGAAAAAATCTTATTTACAATGTATTGTTTTAATCTTTTTATAGCGGCAGTCAATTGTGAAAAGGATGAAGAAAGACATTATATACTGTACATCGCTATAGGAGCAGCAGGTGGAGGATTTCTCTTTGTATTTGTACTGGTGGTTATTGTATACATCATCAACAAACGCCGGAAATATGAACAATTAACTCTGTAAATAGGAATGCAAATAAAAAACAATTAAGGTCAAGATCTAGTAAATGAAAGGTGCCTACAGATTTATCAAACTTGAGAAATAAATTCCTTTATTGATTCCTTACAACTTTAGCTTGGTCAAATAAGGTGTTTCGGGGCATAATTTGTAGGTAAACAAGATGAAAAACTGTATTTAAAACTGTCATTTTCAATGAAAAATTAAGAAAACCAGTCATGAATATCGGAGTTTTCTTCGTATTCGGCAAAGAAAATGTATCCAGATTGCCTACAGTCTCTCAGAAAACGGTAATTAGTATGTTCCTGGCCTCTTCTTTAAATTAATATCAAATTTAATATAGGTATCCGGTTTACTTTTCATATGATTTCAAATTGAATGACATGAAAATACCCAGTTTTCTACATAATTCTGCTAAAGCCGTAAAGTAAGGGGAAAAGAAAGTTGAAATTGATTATGACGTCATAATGGATCTAGCACCAAAAAATCAGTCTCAAGTTATTTACTAGATCTTGACCTTAACGAGTGTAACAAAAATATTTATAGACGACTGATTTGGAAAGTTTTGCGCAATGTTTTGGCACTTAAATAAATGATTATTGCACGTTAGCAACAACGCAGGGGGGATAAGGAAGCATACAAATTATTCTACCTTGACTAAATCAGTGCTCCATCATGACGTCATAGTAAGCGAGATGACGTCAATTCTAAAACACAAGTTTTCGTAAGAGAGGTTGAGATATCAAACGTGTACGGTGACGGGTACGTCAATTTAAGAAATAAAATATCATTTTTAGAGTTTCATTGGGGTATGACATGAAGTCGGTCACGTGATCAAATTCTATAACGCCCGAAGGGCGTTATAGTAGATTTGATCACGTACCGACTTCATGTCATACCCAAATGAAACTCTAAAAATGATATTTTATTTCTTATATTTATATTTTACTTTTTTAGTCGTGTTTCAAAGAAATATAGGCAAATTTAGACTTTGCTTTGGAAATGCGACTTAACGTTTCTACGACGTTTTGACGTCACAATCGGATTTTTTCAAATGGCTCGTGCAGTTTGCTTTCCATACTCAAGAAAATCTGATCATGTGACCAACTTCATGTCATTGAAAATTGAATTTCAGTTTTATTAGCATTGTTATATCAGGAATGACATCAGCAAATGTAAATATTAGGGAAATTACCTAAATTACTTGCGTATTACGTCATCAATTTAGTGACGTCAAGATTGCTACACGTTCGTAAAACTTGTAGAATGGAAGCTACACGTAAATGAAAACGTGTAGCTTTAATAATAAAAATCAACTAATTTAGGTGTGAAAATGTTATTGTTATACATGAAATAGGATGATTAGTTTCACGAGCACTTATTTTGATAACGTTTTGTTTACTAACTATAATTAAACTGATGACTAAAACGGCAATCAGAAGTTGGACGGTTATTCGCTATTCGCTATTCGCCATTCGAATGGCGAACCGCAGGCTGTCTGCCGTTCGATATTAAAATTACCGTAAATGTCCTAATAATTTTTTTTTTCAAAAAACTTTAAAAACGCATCATAATCCGTGTTTGAGAAGAAAAGCAAAGGCTTCACTTAAAGAAGAGGACTGAGGACCCCAAACCAATGCAGCTAGCCTGACCAAAATGATGACTATTTAGCTAGCCTGGTCAAAATTGGATTAAAAAAACTGTTGAATACAATAATAAGTATTTGTACATCTTCAAATTTTTACAGGGGAGGGGTATGGGAGGGACCCTTCCACTGTTAAAAGGAATTTATGTTACAAGACCGGGAACCCATTTAGCTAGCCCGAAGAAAATAAAAAAAAAAACCTTATAATTCTATTATATGTATTTCTGAATAAGAGTACATTGCCCTGGGGTCTAATTAACATCGAAGATCCCATATTTAGACCTTCATATTTTTACAGGGGAGGGGTATTGGAAGGACCCTCCTACTATCAAAGGGAATTTATGTTACAAGACCTGGAACCCATTTAGCTAGCCCGGAGAAAATTGGAAAAAAAACCCGTATAATTCTATTATATGTATTTCTGAATAAGAGTACATTGCCCTGGGGTCTGGCTAACATCGAAGATCCCACATTTAGACCTTCATATTTTTACAGGGGAGGTGTATAGGACGGACCCTTCCACCGTTAAAAGGAATTTATGTTGCAAGACCGGGAACCCATTTAGCTAGCCCGAAGAAAATTGGAAAAAAAACCTTATAATTCTATTATATGTATTTCCTAATAAGGGTACATTGCCCTGGGGTCTGGCTAACATCGAAGATCCCATATTTAGACCTTCATATTTTTCAGGGGAGGGGTATTGGGAGGACCCTCCTACTGTCAAAGGGAATTTATGTTACAAGACCGGGAACCCATTAAGCTAGCCCGGATGAAATTGGAAAAAAGCCTTATAATTCTATTATATGTATTTCCTAATAAGGGTACATTGCCCTGGGGTCTGGCTAACATCGAAGACCCCATATTTAGACCTTCATATTTTTACAGGGGAGGAGTATTGGGAGAACCCTCCTACTGTCAAAGGGAATTTATGTTACAAGACCGGGAACCCATTTAGCTAGCCCGAGGAAAATTAAAAAAAAAACCTTATAATTCTATTATATGTATTTCCTAATAAGGGTACATTGCCCGGGGGTCTGGCTAACATCGAAGATCCCATATTTAGACCTTCATATTTTAACAGGGGAGGGGTATGGGAGGGACCCTTCCACTGTTAAAAGGAATTTATGTTACAAGACCGGGAACCCATTTAGCTAGCCCGGAGAAAACTGGAAAAAAACCTTATAATTCTATTATATGTATTTCTTAATAAGAGTACATTGCCCTGGGGGCTGGCTAACATCGAAGATCCCATATTTAGAACTTCATATTTCTACAGGGGAGGGGTATGGGAAGGACCCTTCCACTGTTAAAAGGAATTTATGTTACAAGACCGGGAACCCATTTAGCTAGCCCGAAGAAAATTGGAAAAAAGCCTTATAATTCTATTATATGTATTTTCTAATAAGGGTACATTGCCCGGGGGTCTGGCTAACATCGAAGATCCCATATTTAGACCTTCATATTTTTACAAGGGAGGGGTATGGGAGGGACCCTTCCACTGTTAAAAGGAATTTATGTCACAAGACCGGGAACCCATTTAGCTAGCCCGAAGGAAATTGGAAAAAAGCCTTATAATTCTATTTTTTGTATTTCCTATTAAGGGTACATTGCCCTGGGGTCTGGCTAACATCGAAGATCCCACATTTAGACCTTCATATTTTTACAGGGGAGGGGTATTGGGAGGACCCTCCTACTGTCAAAGGGAATTTATGTTACAAGACCGGGAACCCATTTAGCTAGCCCGAAGAAAATTTGAAAAAAAAACCTTATAATTCTATTATATGTATTTCCTAATAAGGGTACATTGCCCTGGGGTCTGGCTAACATCGAAGATCCCACATTTAGACCTTCATATTTTTACAGGGGAGGTGTATAGGACGGACCCTCCCACTGTTAAAAGGAATTTATGTTACAAGACCGGGAACCCATTTAGCTAGCCCGAAGAAAATTGGAAAAAAACCTTATAATTCTATTATATGTATTTCCTAATAAGGGTACATTGCCCTGGGGTCTGGCTAACATCGAAGATCCCATATTTAGACCTTCATATTTTTCAGGGGAGGGGTATTGGGAGGACCCTCCTACTGTCAAAGGGAATTTATGTTACAAGACCGGGAACCCATTTAGCTAGCCCGAAGAAAATTAAAAAAAAAACTTATAATTCTATTATATGTATTTCCTAATAAGGGTACATTGCCCTGGGGTCTGGCTAACATCGAAGATCCCATATTTAGACCTTCATATTTTTACAGTGGACGGGTATGGGAGGGACCCTTCCACTGTTAAAAGGAATTTATGTTACAAGACCGGGAACCCATTTAGCTAGCCCGAGGAAAATTAAAAAAAAAAACCTTATAATTCTATTATATGTATTTCCTAATAAGGGTACATTGCCCGGGGGTCTGGTTAACATCGAAGATCCCATATTTAGACCTTCATATTTTTCCAGGGGAGGTGTATAGGAGGGACCCTTCCACTGTTAAAAGGAATTTATGTTACAAGACCGGGAACCCATTTAGCTAGCCCGGAGAAAACTGGAAAAAAAACCTTATAATTCTATTATATGTATTTCCTAATAAGAGTACATTGCCCTGGGGTCTAATTAACATCGAAGATCCCATATTTAGACCTTCATATTTTTACAGGGGAGGGGTATGGGAAGGACCCTCCCACTGTTAAAAGGAATTTATGTTACAAGACCGGGAACCCATTTAGCTAGCCCGAAGAAAATTGGAAAAAAGCCTTATAATTCTATTATATGTATTTTCTAATAAGGGTACATTGCCCGGGGGTCTGGCTAACATCGAAGATCCCATATTTAGACCTTCATATTTTTACAAGGGAGGGGTATGGGAGGGACCCTTCCACTGTTAAAAGGAATTTATGTCACAAGACCGGGAACCCATTTAGCTAGCCCGAAGGAAATTGGAAAAAAGCCTTATAATTCTATTTTTTGTATTTCCTATTAAGGGTACATTGCCCTGGGGTCTGGCTAACATCGAAGATCCCACATTTAGACCTTCATATTTTTACAGGGGAGGGGTATTGGGAGGACCCTCCTACTGTCAAAGGGAATTTATGTTACAAGACCGGGAACCCATTTAGCTAGCCCGAAGAAAATTTAAAAAAAAAACCTTATAATTCTATTATATGTATTTCCTAATAAGGGTACATTGCCCTGGGGGCTGGCTAACATCGAAGATCCCATATTTAGAACTTCATATTTTTACAGGGGAGGGGTATGGGAGGGACCCTTCCACTGTTAAAAGGAATTTATGTTACAAGACCGGGAACCCATTTAGCTAGCCCGGAGAAAATTGGAAAAAAAGTATAATTCTATTATATGTATTTCTGAATAAGA